CATCCTGGTCAACGTGGTGAAACCCCGTCTCTACTAAAAATACAAAACATTAGCTGGGCATGGTGGCACATGCCTGTAATCCCAGCTACTCGGGAGGTTGAGGCAGGAGAATTGCCTGAACCCAGGAGGCGTAGGTTGCGGTGAGCCGAGATCGCGCCATTGCACTCCAGACTGGGTAACAAGAATGAAACTCCGTCTCAAAAAAAGAGACAGGCTTGGGAGAAAACAAAGTCTACCAAATAAGCCTAGCTTAATTGCAAAACAGTAAGGTAACAGACTTTCAAATAAAGTCAATTCTCTTGGAAAGATTTCTATTCTGCTACATAAACTGCAGACTATATAAACTATGGCATGAGGACTTAACATAGGGTGTTCAATCTTTTGGCTTCCTGGGGCCATGCTGAAAGCAGAATTGTCTTGGGCCACACATAAAATACACTAACACTAACAATAGCTGATGAGCTTGAAACCGTCCTACGCTGTGGGTTGGACAAGCTTGACCTAACACATCCTTCCGTTGGCAAAATTACCCTTCTTTATTATGTCTGCTCTAACAAAAAAGCATTTTGGTGGGTCTTTACATTCTCCCTACATCTGAACTATTGATATATTCCATGCTGATCTATAGCAGTAACTCTAAAATGGAGTCAGGGGTGGGGTATTATGGCTTGACAGGTGGTTTGAAAAAGCCCTCTAATCCCACCCAGGTTGTAAACTGCTGCTCTACAATGCTGAGAGAAAATAGGCAGTTCTTACATCTCTATCCATTGATGTAGAAAGTAGTAGCTGTTTGTCATCCTCTGTTTGTAAAGGACATAAATTAAACACAATTCTTGAATGATTTTGCCCTTCTGATGAAGCACTAAAGAGGGTGTATTTCCGTCTCCAAGACTGAGTGAGATCCCATTGCAACAGCTCACCTCTATGAAGGAAAAACATAAGCATTAGTTCTTTTACAAACAATCTGAAAACAAGTGGCCGCTGAATCACAGAGTCTAGGCTCATAGCTGCAAAATGATTTGTTGTCTTTTAAGGAGAGAAAAATTGCATATTCTGAAATATACACAAAATATCTCTGGGAAGGCTGGGTACGGTAGCTCGTATCTGTGATCCCAGCATTTTGGGAGCCCGAGGCAGGAGGATTGCTTGAAGCCCAGATCTCAAGTCCAGCCTGGGCAACAAAGTGAGACCCTATCCCTACAAACAATTAAAAAATTAGCTGGGCATGGTGGTGGACATGTATGGTCCCAGTTACTTGGGAAGCTGAGGTGAGAGAATTGCTTGAGCTCAGGAGGTGGAGGCTGCAGTGAGCTATGTTTGCACAACTGCACTACAGCCTGGGTGACAAAGCAAGATCCTGACAGGGAAAGACTCCTCTTTCTACAGGTGAAAAGACTGAAGCTCAGAAAAATAAAGGGTCCTGCTCATGAATACAAGGCAGTAAGTGGCAAAGTGATTCTGAAATTTAGTTCTGACTTCAGAGTCCACACTCCTAACTGCCAGACTACACTTATTTGATCTTTTTACAGCTCTGTTAGTTGACAGCACAGGCATTGCTCTCACAATTTTTCCATTTCAAATGGCCCATCGTAATATAAGCTTTCGCCACTACTTTCTCCATCTACAAAGAGAAACCTAGGAGTCTTTGAGACTAAATAGAAAAACAAAATGTATCTAAGAAAGCACTTACCCAAAAAGACTTACCCAAAACAGCTAGATACCAGCTGTGACGGCTGATTGCTGGGCCAATGGAGTGTCAACCAAAGGCGCTCTTTAACAGTTGGGTCTATACCCCCTCCTCTTCTCTTCAGAAAGGGCAATTTCAAAATCATCACCCCTGCAGATTAAAAGAAGGCCAATGGGCACTCAAGACAGTGAAACTACATGCATGAAGTCACCAGCAGTTCATAATACTCAAATCTGTGCTGTAAAAACTTGTTTGGTTACGTAGAATTCAGATCTCATTTTCCTATGGTTGTTTATAATGGTTATAATGTTAACCATTATAAATAGTGGTTAATACTAATCTAGCTACATTTAGGTCAAACAAGCTTCCATAGGTTATCTTGACAACCTCAACATATTTTTCTTGTCTGGGAAAATGAGTTCTCAAGTACAACTGAGAATTCATGTAGTAACACAGCTCAGTTGTACACCCAAAAGTATTACAGTGACATAACTCCAAAGTGAAAAGGATAGAGGTTGAGATTACTGTTTCTAGTTGGCAAGAAACCCAACAAAGAAGAAAAATTTGGCAGTCAACATGCTGTGGCTGCGGAGTACCTCCACCTGACACGCTTCTAATCACTGTTTTTTAAGCTGTATTATGCATCAGAACCACAGGTGGAACTTTAAAAAATACATACGTTAGGGCCTAACTCCTAGAGATTCTGACTCCGTAGATCTGAGGTGGGGGATAAGAACTCACATTTTTAAAAACTCTCCAGCTGATTCAGCTGCACAATCACAATTGAAGGCCATTATACCACACATCTCTAAGTCTAGAGGTTCCCCTTCTGTAGGGATCCTCAGCCTCATGTTCCTACTTGGAGTTTTAGCTGCAGTATGTACAAAAGTAGTCTATAAATCTTAAAAAAGTTCTGTCTTCCAAAACTATACTGTTACCTACCACCGATGAAGCCTGGACTACATGCCAAGCACAGTGCTACTTGCTTTACATGCACTAACACATTTGGGTAAATATAAAACTATCACAGTTTAAAATAAAGTGGTAAGCATATCCATGTTCACAGTATATTATTTAGAATAGTAAAACATGGAAGCAACCCAAATGTCCATCAGTGGATGAGTAGATAAGCAAAATGTGGGACATTGGAATGGAATGTGGGACATATACAATGGAATATTATTCAGCCTTAGAAAGGAAGGATATGCTGACATATGCTACAAAATCAATGAACTTTGGGGATATATGCTAAGTGAAGTAAGCCAATCACAAAAAGACACATCATATGGACAATTTCACTCAAAGGAAATACTCAGAATAGTCAAAATCATAGAGTCATAGAGCAGAAAGCAGAATGATGGTTGCCAGGGCCTGGAGGAAGAGGGAATGAGAGTAGAATTCTGGAGATGAATGGTTGTGACAGTTGTACAACTTTATAAGGGTACTTAATATCACTTAAATGTACATTTAAAAGTGATAAAGATGGCAAATGTTATACTTTCCACCACAGCTTAAAAAACTGGTGAAAAAGGCCGGGCGCGGTGGCTCACGCCTGTAATCCCAGCTCTTTGGGAGGCCGAGGCGGGTGGATCACGAGGTCAAGAGATCGAGACCATCCTGGTCAACATGGTGAAACCCCGTCTCTACTAAAAATACAAAAATTAGCTGGGCATGGTGGC